TCTTGGCTAACCATTTTCTTGTCCAATTCGATTCATCGCAGCGAATATTCCATTACCATGTTGACATTTCCCCTAACCCCTCGAAGGAAGTTGCTAGAATGATCAAACAGAAGCTGATGGAGGATAACTCGGCTGTGCTATCCGGTGCAATTCCGGCTTATGATGGCCGGAAGAATCTTTACAGCGCCCTTGAATTCCGAGACGATAGGCTTGAATTCTATGTAAGCCTCCTCATCCCCACAAGTAAGCCAACATTGCCATATGGGGCATTCAATGACTTACAAGAGAAGCTTCAAGAACATAAACTTTTTCGGGTCAATATCAAACTCGTGTCAAAGCTAGATGCGAAGGAATTGAGTAGTTACTTGAACAATGAGGGTGATGAATGGAAGCCGCTTCCTCAGGATTATCTCCACGCCTTGGATGTCGTCTTGAGGGAGGCACCATTGGAGAAGTGTGTGCCTGTGGGAAGATCACTCTACTCGAGCTCAATGGGTGGAAGTAAAGAAATTGGAGGAGGGGCCGTAGGACTGAGAGGGTTCTTTCAGAGCCTTCGACTAACTCAACAAGGACTAGCTCTCAATGTTGATTTCTCCGTGACTGCATTCCACGAAAGCGTTGGAGTGATCCCATACTTACAGAAGCGCCTCGAGTTTCTTCAAGACCTTCCTCAAAGGAAGACAAGGGGTTTAACTGAGAAAGAAAGGAAAGAAGTGGAGAAGGCATTGAAGAATATCAGGGTCTTTGTTTGCCACCGAGAAACTGTTCAGAGATACCGCGTTTTTGGCTTAACCGAGGAAGCCACTGAAGATCTTTGGTTTGCAGACAGGGATGGGAAGAATTTGAGGCTGTTGACTTACTTTAAGGATCACTATAACTATGATATACAATTCAGGAATTTGCCTTGTTTGCAGATTAGTAGGAGTAAACCATGCTATCTTCCAATGGAGCTATGTATGATCTGTGAAGGCCAGAAGTTCCTCGGGAAGCTGTCTGATGATCAGACTGCAAGGATACTTAAGATGGGCTGCCAACGACCGAAAGAACGAAAAGCCATTATAGATGGAGTTATGAGAGGTCCTGTTGGGCCAACAAGGTAATCTCTCAAATTCTAAGAAGTGTTTCAGTTTGCTCTCTGATTATTTGTTGATGTTCATTTCATTTTTTTGTCCTCCTTGCAGTGGCATTCAGGAAAGAGAATTCAAGCTCCATGTTTCGAGAGACATGACGCGATTAAAAGGAAGAGTTCTTCAACCTCCAAAGCTAAAGCTTGGCGATGGTGGTCATGTAAGGGACCTAATTCCCTCTCGTCTTGACCGGCAGTGGAATCTTATGGACAGCCATGTGTTTGAAGGTACTAGAATCGAGAGGTGGGCATTGATTAGTTTTGGTGGCACCCCTGATCAGAAGAATAGCATCCCGAAATTCATACGCCAGCTATCTCAAAGATGTGAACAACTGGGAATCTTCCTTAACAATAACACGATTGTTAGCCCCCAATTCCAACCATCCCAAGTGCTTAACAATGTGTCGCTGTTAGAATCTAAGCTCAAAAGAATCCAAAGAGCTGCATCAAACAATCTCCAGCTGCTTATATGTGTAATGGAAAGAAAGCACAAAGGCTACGCAGATCTCAAGCGAATTGCGGACACAAGCGTTGGGGTTTTAAGCCAATGCTGCTTGTACTCAAACCTCGGGAAGTTGGGTTCGCAGTTTTTGGCGAACCTAGCTCTGAAGATCAATGCTAAAGTTGGAGGATGCACGGTTTCCTTGTACAATTCGTTACCATCTCAAATCCCGCGGCTGCTTCTTGCTGATGAGCCAGTGATCTTCATGGGCGCAGATGTGACCCATCCACATCCACTTGATGACTTTAGTCCTTCTGTTGCTGCTGTGGTTGGTAGCATGAATTGGCCAGCGGCAAACAAGTATGTTTCGAGAATGAGATCTCAGACACATCGACAAGAAATCATCCAGGATCTCGACGCAATGGTGGAAGAATTATTGAATGAGTTTTGCCAGGAAGTTGGCAAACTCCCCAAGAGAATCATTTTCTTCAGAGACGGGGTAAGCGAAACGCAATTCTACAAAGTGCTTCAAGAGGAGCTGCAATCTATTAAAAGGGCATGTTCTAGGCTTCCCGGTTATGCGCCTCCCATAACATTTGCAGTGGTTCAGAAGAGGCATCACACAAGGCTGTTCCCTTTCAAAATTGATCCGTCTTCGAAGCAGAACCAATTACTCGATGAAAACATTCCCCCTGGAACCGTTGTGGATACCGTGATCACTCACCCGAAAGAATTCGACTTCTATCTTTGCAGTCATTGGGGAGTTAAGGGAACAAGCAGGCCAACTCATTACCACATTTTGCGGGATGAAAACGAGTTCACCTCAGATGAACTGCAGAAGCTGGTTAACATTCTGTGCTACACGTACGCAAGGTGCACGAAGCCGGTTTCGCTGGTGCCCCCAGCTTACTACGCTCACTTGGCAGCGTATCGAGGCAGGCTTTACCTTGAGAGATCAGAATCCACAACTTATACCAGAAGTGGTTCTACGCTCTCCAGAGCCGGCCCTCCGAAGGAAATGGCTCTACCAAAACTTAGTGAGAATGTTAAGAAACTCATGTTTTATTGCTGAGTTTTAATCCGTTTAATTAACCTCCTTAACATGGCAGTTAATTCATTAGGTTAATTATAGTTAAGGCCACAGAGATGGTTAGACCAATGTAACAGAAGAACAGCTGAGTTTCTTATGCCAAGTAAACTACGAATCATGATTAATCTGCATGCCAAACTCACGGAAAATATGGTTTTTCTAGCCGAATTTTATATGCAGTTCTCAACATACACATGTAAACATTTTAGCTACAAACATCGACCAAAATTATCAGATTTAAGCGGCAAATGTGGGTTAGATCAGTTGACCAGTATAAGAGTTTGAATTCTCCTCTCTGCAAATTAGAGTACTTTAAAAAAGAATATTGGTTTAGCTAAAAGGACACCTTAAATAGTTGAACCAAAATATATTGGGGTCTCATCTATTTTTTCATTAATTAGTTCATTATCGTGGATAAATCCTGTGTGCGAGTGCCCACAGACAATATACACCTGGGAATAGAGCAGAATCGTTAGCATTGTTACAAAACTATATTTCGTGCGTGAGAGGGGAGAGAGGCAGAAGAGATGATGAAAGAGTGAGAGGATCTCGGATTAAGATTGGGAGCAAAAGGGGAGTGGAAGAGAGAGATGTGAATATAAATTGAGGGTATTGACTAGCACTTGTGACATGGCCTTTTCAGTGTAATTACTAATTTACATTACCATGCATGCAAACTATGCAAAACTAGGCAGACGGCAAGAAGAATAGAAAGCAAAAGTGAAAAAGCACTTAAACGAAAGAAGAAGCACTTTCATGTATATATACATATATATTTATGTTTGTATACGTATCTATGGTCCCCCCCAATGAATGGTATCATTCAGTCAGAATCTGAAGCAAAAGCAATGCCATTGCCAGCCATGAATAATTCTAGAGGGAGAGAGAGAGAGGGGGAGAGAGAGAGAGAAAGAGAGATTGAGGAAGAAGACAACGAAGAGCCAAGAAAGTCAGACTTTGGATTTCCCCTTCTGTCTCTTCAGCCTTGCAAATGAGTAAGATTCTCTCACACTTATTCTCATCCACTTCCCTTCTCTTCTTTCATCTTATTGTCTTTATAAAAAAATTAATATAAAATATTGATATAGTTAAACCGTAACCGTTCAAATAGAAGGAGAAGGAAAGAGAAAGCGAATAGGAGGGAAAAAAATTCTGCTCCCTTTTGCAAAACCCTGGCTTTTTTCCACCATTAACTTCTCTCTTCTACTCTCTGCTTCTCTCTCTCTCTCTCTCTTATGCAAAGAACCATGCACCGCCACGAGAAGAAACAGATGGATTGGGACACAACGTTACGTCAGTTTTGGCAGCCCATCCCTGCCCAGCCCCGCTCTGTACCCTCTCCCGACTCTCATCAAAGCTCTATAAGTCCAGATAGTAAATACATTAGATATAGGTGTCTGATCACGTCATTCGTTCAACGTTTCTTACAAAATCTTGCCATTCCTAATAAGTATGTGACCCCGCATTAGATCAAAACTCAATCGGTCACGCGCAACCGAGTTTTATACTAATAAAACCCTACAATAATGGTAGAATTTACGTCAATCTTTGTGATGTGATCTGTCTAGAGCCGTATAGATGTAGCCTTTGGATGAAATACTACAGTTTTACCACGTAGGGGTCGGTAGGGTTTCTGTTGTCGGTGATGGAAGCTTTCAATTTCATAGCTTGACCACCTCAACCCAATTTTGCAGGTTTTACACGTCCTTCCATATTACATATATTCTACTGTTATTAACTTATGACGTAATAAATGTTTATCAAATAAGTGGTTTTTTTTTAACTCCTCTCAAATATTTTATTATACGGCCGACACCATTAAAATTAATAAGGACAAAAAACTTTAATTAAAATTTGATCACCAAAATCGTATGACATGATCGGACACTCCATTCACGTTTTGCCCTATCACACAAAACAAGTAGTGCAAATTAATCAATCCGTCCACAAATCCAGTGTCAATTTGCTGTCACTTTGAAATAACAATTGATCAGAGTTTTCCATGGCCAAATCAAATCAAATCAATTTGGTTGGAGGTGAGGTGACAGAAGAAGGCATCTCTGTTTATTTTGTTCGTTGGCACAAACCGTATTCAGGTGGCATTCCAGAGAGCCACCTCAAGTCTGTGACCTTTAACCTGCAACTACGTCTCTTTTTTCTCTGATGCGATCGCTTAAGTGCGTTTGAGGTGGGTGGGAGGAGAAAGGGGGGGTGGGGGGTGTTTCATTAGGCTCCCCCTATGGGTGGACCGTGTTCGTGTCACACCCATACTCACCCAACGTCTCCTCCAGGCGAGTATGTGTTTTCGGTCTTGGAGGGAGGCGGTTGAGTGAGAGTGATCATGAGAAAATGGACATATTTCCAAGTGAATTCAAGCTCAAGAAACTGCGGAAGCTTACAAGCGCACATTTTACCATAACATTTATCTGTTTTTACATACTTGATGGCCAAGCACACTTCCGCAGGTTCTGAATCGAAAAACAAGAGTTGTATGGAGGTCGAAGAGGACTCGTGCTTTCAAGCTTTAAAATATGAAACATCACAGAAGTATAAAACAACTAATCAAAAAGCTAAGGAGGTAGTTGCAAACAAGTGTTATTTACTTGGTCGTCATGAGACGGCAAAATTACCAAGTTGTCGGAGTCAAAAAATGCGCTCTGAGGCAGGTTTCTTCTCTGCTGGAAGCTGGAGTATCTCTCGAATCCCTTCGCATACCTGCAAAGAATATGATAATCAGAGGTGCAAAAGGAGGGAAAATAGAAGGCTGAATCATTGGTCACAATTTCATATTTGCCTTTTCTAGTGTTTCGGTCTTCTACTTCCTACTTTGGGCAGAAATATTGTTGAGTTGACAAGATCACATACTACAAAGAAGCGCAAATATATTCTATCGAAATGACATAAATGGGAGAGCACCAAACAATTTCAACTTCTGCAACACATATCCGAGAAACAAAATGTGATAAGCAGATAGAAAGCATGTTCGGAAGTTTACATACCAGCTTTATCTGAGCTTTAATGGACGCAATAAGGTTAGTACACTCTTCAACTTGCCTACAGAGATCAACCGAGCGCATTAAAAATGAAAACAGGGGAGACGGGGTATTTCAACGAAACTAGTAGGATACGTTTCACTAATATCTACTAGATTTCAAATGATAAAATCCGTCGAAAAAAATCAACTTGTGCAACAACAAGCAAAAGGCTGTACCTGGCCAACTTTTCTTCTCTTTGAGATATGTAATTCAAAGCTTCAGACCAGGTGAACTCCACATGGAATCCCAGTCCAATATCCACAAATATGCGTCGTGTATCTGGCCTGCAAACGCGCAGAAAAAAGATACGGTGAATAAGCCCCATCCCACATCCGTAACATAGAACAGGTTTAAATCCGTCGATGCTGGAACAATATCAATTCAAATACTAGTAAACAGAAAATAGGAACATGTATTACCAGTAGTGAAAATTTTCAATCCATGATAGTAGTGATTAGCTTGATCAAATGTAACCGGTTACAAACTTTTAATCAAAAACAAACTCAAGGGACACTAAGAAGTCTCAATAAAATGTGGTTTACATACGGCTGATTTCCGGTTAGTATCTCCGGTTCTAATTTTCATCAAAAGTTTGTAACCGGTTTTATTAGTGCGTATCTCCCACGGAGAAAGTACACAAAGCATAAGATTGAATTAGTGTGAGCATCAAAAGAGAAGATAGATGCCAAGAGTCCAAGACTCACACATCAGCTTGCATATACACTTCAGAGCCAAGATTAACCAAAGTCCTAAGACTGGTCACACTATTTTTCTCCAAATTCTCTATGTTCTTCCGCAAATCCGAGCTTTCAATTAAACAAAGTCAAGAAAGCACCTTCAACAACCAAAATCACCAAATGAAATTTCCGAAAAATCTCATTCGGGTAAAATTCAATTCATTAAAAGAGGGAAAACCGAAAAGGATACAAAACTTTTTGTTGCTCGAACACCTTGTCCCTGCAAAACAAGAATCACACCCAAAAAAAAAAATGATAAGCAAATATGAAACCCTAATGGAGCGCAAGCATGTGTATTTACTGCTCGAGCTTGGTAATGTCCGCAAAGAAAACCCTAGAAAATGGGTTACGGTAAAGTAGTGGGGAGAGGGTGTACGAAACGGTACCGTTGAGCAATGGCGCGAACGAGGTCTGGTTTGAGGCGTTGGTCCACGAAATCCTCGAATTTCTGAATTTTGTTTTGGCGGGAGATGTCCATGAGCCCTGGATTAGCAGAGCTCGCTTGCTTCTTTGCACACAGAAAGTCGGTCTCCGGAGGTAAACGACGATGCAGAAGGAGGGAATGAAAAGTTACAAACAAACGATGTCGTATAAGGCATCTTTTGGTGGGTGGGGGGGGGGGGGGGGGGAGGCCACGGACCAAATTGGATGGACAGGATTATATATACTGGCTTATCGGGGTCCAGGCCCAAGCCCAAAAATATTTCTACATAGATAAAGTATTTACCGAGCCGTATTCTCAGCGTACCCTTCTGAGAGCTGAAAAGACTCACAGAGGCATTTTAACCTCCCTTAGCCATTATTGTGTGATTTACCAGCATCAAGAATCGAACCCAGGACGTGCCATGTGGAAACGAGCCTAAAATTCGTCCCCGGCCGCTAGGATAAACATTCGGGACGCTCTTGAGATGGTTAAAAATGCTTTTGGATAAACACTAGGATAAACATTCAGGACGTGCCATGTGGAAACGAGCCTAAAATTTGTCCCCGACCGCTAGGATAAACATTCGGGACACTCTTGAGATGGCTAAAAATGCTTTTGGATAAACACTTGAATTTGTAGTAAATTTTTATTGTGCTTCTAATAAGAGCACTTCTATCAAAATCGTTTACAAGCACAAGTGATGTATATACAAGCATTCATTCCCAAATAGAACCTTTATTTCAACATGTGTGATTCAAGCTTTTGTCCTCCCTTGGATTTTCAGCAAAATCACGTAGAAGTTCAACACATAAATTGTGGAGAAATTTGAAGTCACTTGCATGTATCAGCTACACTAATTTGGCATAATGTATCTTAAAAATAAAACTATATGAACTATGGATTTTATCAATTTATTCTTGAAGAAAACGACGCTTCCCATCACTTCCTTTGTGGCCTCCAGAAATCTTTTCCTCATCCTTCATCCTCCTAGCTCCCTCAACAAGTCGATCTTTGCACTCAAATGAAGTAAATACTAACTAGCTGAAGGCACTTGAGCTTACCTCTGGCCGTGAACCCTTGCCAGGAAGGTCTACGATGCACAAGTTTGCGCCGTTTAACAGCCGGTGACCACAAACTGGCAAAGAAATCCTAATTTTTCATGCAGCAGCTCCCATCTTCAAAGTAATTGTAACAAATAGGTTATGTTGATGGTGTCATTGAATACCAACTGATTCAGAAGAAAAGTTAACCGTTTCCAAAATGGAATGAGATTCACCATCCAAAGATGTTTCCATCTTAAAAGATCTGCAACTGAAATAGAAAACCGCGCTGTTCATGGAGTCGATAAGCACCACAAACGAATACATGATCACCAAAAGAGGGCCTTCCCAAATGCGCGAAGACCCATCTCCATAGCTCAAAGTCTTCACCCTATGCTCAAACAATCCCTCGACGAATGCCATTCCAATACTCGACCCAAGAAATATTAGAAGACCAACCTGAGTCTGGCCCTTGATCAGAACCCCAGACTGAACCAGTGCCTCTGGTCCCGAGACATCCTCCAACACAGAGATCACAATAGCAATGTTGCAAATAATAACGGCATTGGCAAAAACAACCGAGAAGATGAGCGCGACCACCATTGCAGCATACACAATATAATTCGGCGACAACCCTACTATCGAACATGCATTGCACACAGCAAGAAGAAGAACCAAAAACAAGACGACACAACCGGCAACCACCATACACATCCACACATAAGTTGAAACAACCCGCCTCCATATCTTGCGCAGAACCAAGTAAAACTGTGATGCATCAAACTTCTTCAGGGAGTAACTACAATACACAGAGTAAACCACCGCGGCTTTTGACAACAACGACAATGTGATGTACAAGGGGAAGCACATCGTACACGAAATAGCCATCTCAGCAAACTTCTGGCAGGAGTGACTGATAAAATCCCTCAAAGGGAGTCCACTGGACTTTGCAATTAACAACATCCTAATGGTTAGTCTCTTTACAAGTGAATGATCAACTACCAAATTCGACAAAAGCAGGGCGGAAACCGGGCAGATTAGCAACAAGGCAATCGCCAAAAACCCCCACGAATTGTACCGGAGAATTCTAACGGTTTCTCTCAAAATTTCCAGAGCACTCATCGAATGAAACCTGTGATCGTTAACGGGGAGTTCTAACTCGAATCTACGCAAATGGGGTTCTTCGGATCCCTCTTTTTTCAAGTGATCCAATCTCATTCTGGGTGAACTGTCAGCTTCCATTTTTTTCTTCAAATCAATCACTCACAACACCAATTCAAACAAAAATTACAATATCTAATATCTATATCTGTATAAATGTGATTGTAATTAAAGATCAAAAGGAGCTAGATTCAACTCAAAACGCAAAACCCAGAAGCCAGATTCACACGAAAAGCTTTACCGGCACTACAGATCTGAGGAGCCACGGAATACAGACGGTACGGTACCTTGAAAGCTGGGAGGCAGCCTTGGGGGTGGCGATGGAGAGGCGTTTCGCGGAGGTTCTGCGGCGGGATAGGCGGAGGAGGAGGAGGAGGAGGGAGCTCCGACTATCATGGAGGATTTGATTGAGAATCGTGCGAGGCGTGTTGACTTTGGGCGTGAAGAAGAATTAAAGCAATGAATCGATGACAGAAGGAATTGCGAGTGGGCACGTCGGTGACTTTAACTTGTTCGTCGGCCTTTTATATCGGATTGTGGTGGAGCTGCCAGCTGCACTACCTGACGACTCTCGACGGGCGACGTTTGGAATTACTTTGGTTTGTTGTTGATTATTAAATGTTTATTCTCGGAGGACTAGGGATTTGTGAAATTTTGGTTTTAGTGAAAAAATAATAACGAAAAAAAAAATTAATTCTGTGCAATTTGATACATTAAGGTTTCGTTTTGGCACTATTTTAAGGAGTGATGTAAGACGAGGGGAAGGGATCATTTTCGGATTCCTTCCATTAAGTTCACCAAGGTTATAAAATCGAACGTTTGAAATTTGATTCAACGGCTACAAATAGGTGTTCATTTTAAAAGTTATAATAATTTTAACCGTTTGATCAAATTTTAAAGGCCCGAATTTGTGATATTGGTGGACATGATGGAAGAGATTCGGAGATGATTCATTTCCTAAGACGAGCCTTTAATTTGCTCACTTGTGCATAAATATAATTACAACTTGATTTTTTTTTTCGACCAGATTATTATTTTGTCATGGTAGTCCACCTTTTTTAAAATTGGGAAAACTCACATAAGTATTTTATCTTTTTCTTGACCATATATGTGATTAATCAGCGCTAAAAATCGAACTACAAGTTAGCACTTGATTTGGAACATGGAGGTATGGCCAAAACATGTGATCTCCCCACCTAGCAACAAACATTAGCATGTGCATATGTGGACTTTTATAACATGTGGTAAGTACTACTTATTTAGTGCATGCATATCTCCTTAAGACATTATGAATCAATGATTTAATAATCATATGGAAAGAAAGGTATCCAAGATTCCTTTCTTTATAAGTAGCATGATAATGGGTTTCCAATTAAACACTCATTTGGTGCAACTACCACCTAAGCAATAGATCTAAATCTTTTGTATTGATAGCAATTAATACTGTAATTTAGTGATATATATATATATATTTTTTTTTTTTTTTATAAGTGAGAATTTTTATGTTCGATTCATTTAGATGGCGGTATAATATTTGTGAAATATAAAAGAAATATAGAATGAAAGTCAATAGAATAAAAAAGAAAGAGTAAAGTGATGTTTGAAGTACTATTTAAGGGATATTTGATAAAATAAACAAAAACCTAATTGAAATATTGCAGAGCCAAAAATAATTACAAGGCGACACGTGGATTTTTGGGTGAAGATGACAAATTTACCCTTGAGGCATACCGGGTCTCTTACACGCGAGCAGTGGAGAATCATTTATCAACCAAATCAGGAGTACCCAAAATAGGTAACAAGTTCAAATTTATCTCATCCATCCTCATTCCATAACCTCCAAAAACCTCCCAAAACACTTCTTTTATTATGATAATTAGCCAATTAATATATTTATACCTAATTAATATATTAATTGCTAATTGAATCACCAAATAACACCCCAAAACACACTTAAAGGCCGGCCACACCCCATTCCCTATACATATGACCCTATTTCTTCTAAAAAGCTAAGTTGATACTTTTGCAAAACTCCCAAAAATCCTCTAAACACTTTTTCTCTCTAAATTCTAACATTGGCATCGGAGGTTCTTCGGCCAAAGCCCCCATATTCATCGTGGGCGCGTGAGGTTCTTGGCCTTGACCAAATGTGTTAATTGTTTTGTAGGTGCAATTTTGTCCAAGAAGAAGAAGATGGAAATTTGCATCCACAAATTGATGCTTTCATTGAGAGTTGAGATTCACACTCGTAGAAGACTCTCACACAAAAAGGTTTTTTCTCTATTTTCTCTATTTACTAGTCCATTTGTATTTTTCGTACGTTCTTATTAATAGAAATTTTTATTTGCAAATATTCTTTGATAAAACGTGAAATACAATGGTTAGAAATTTAGAAAATTCCACAAGTGAAAATTCAAATATTCAAGAAATGGGACCCCGGTGATCCACAAGACTAAATGTGATCTTAGGGGGAGCGGCACCGCCACCACAAGGCTCAACCATGGTAACCACCGCGGTGGCCACCATGGTAATCACCCACGGCGAGGTCCATGACTCCACCACCACAGCCCGAGCCATGTCACTCCATGCCCAACGCGAGCCCTATGCATTGCCAAGTCGAGCTCAAGCCTCGCATTCACGAGCATCAACGCCGAGCAGCCTGCTTCCGCAGCCTTGCCTGTTCCCACATCCCAACTTGCTCCCGACGAGCAGCCCACTCCCATAGCCCAGCCTACTCCCATTGAGCTACCCACTCTTGTGGCCTAGCCTGCTCCCGACGAGCAGTTAACTCCCATGGCCCAGCCTTCTCCAGCTGAGCAGCCCACTCTCGTGGCCCAGCCTGTTCCCGACAAGCAGCCCAGTCTGCTCCCATCGAGCAGCCCACTCACGTGGCCTAGTCTGCTCCCGACCAGCAGTCCACTCCCATAGCCCAGCCTACTCTCGTGGCCCAGCCTGTTTCAGCCGAGCAGCCCACTCTCGTAGCCCAATTCGGTCCAAGATTAGTTCAACCATCCCGGTTTCAAATTTTTGGGCTTACGATCGAACCGAGGGCATTCTTACCACATTTCTCCGCGGATTTGACATTTCCCAACTCAAATCTCGCGCCCAAAGTCTACCACATTTCCACTGCTTAAGGAGGCACATTCCTTCCAAGCTTTTCCAATCCAAATGGTGAACAACACTTGTCTCAACAAGTCATATAGTTGACAAGAGCCCTAGCACAGCAAACAACCTTGGTGAACCAGCTCTTACAGCGCACCAAGATGCAACGTGCCCAAAACGAGGTGTCCCAAAGTAGGACAAAGGCAGATGAAGAACTTCTCCAGCAGCATCCCAGCAAACAGCCACTTGACCATCCACGAACCGAGCGTTTGGGCATAGTACACTCCCGATTGGGCCCCCGAGATAACATATATTCTCGTCTTAGCACGTGGAAGAGCATGCACTATCGACTAGGCCCACGGATGAGCATACATTCACGGTTGAGGACGTACTCCAATAATCAACATAAGCAGTCTTCTAAGCGAAGTATTCATTCACGGCTAGGCCCGTAATGAGTATCCTCCACATTACATCGAAGCAGACAGCACAGCAGATGAAAAGAAGCAGTCACTCAATCCGGCTCAAGTTCGACCAGCAGCTTGTAAGTTACACGATCGCCTGCTAGGAACATACTACATCCACCGCAGCCACGGCATAAACGAGCCCAACATATGGAATAACAGCTTAAACCAGCACATCACGATCAAGGGTAGTCGAGAGCTCTGCCACCCCAACAAAGAAAAATTTAGGAAGAAGTATAAAGGCTCCTGACCAAGCGATTGCACAATTTCTCGCGCCAACTAAGCCTCAAAAGGGTATACTCTCCGGTGCGAAAGGATAAACTAATTGCTCTGCAGTGCAAGAGGGTAAACCAATTCCTCGACACCCAAAAGGGTCTGCTCTCTAGTGTGAGAGGATAAACTAATTGCTCTCCAGTGCGATAGGGTAAACCAATTCCTTAACACCCAAAAGGGTATCATCTCCAGTGCGAGAGGATAAACTATTGTTCTCTAGTGCGAGAGGGTAAACCAATTCCCCGACACCCCAAAGGGTATGCTCTCCAGTGCGAGAGGATAAACTAATTGCTTTCCAGTGCGAGAAGGTAAACCAATTCCCTGACACCCATATGGGTTTGCTCTCCAATGCGAGAGGATAAACTAATTGATCTCCAATGCGAGAGGGTAAACCAATTCCCCGACACCTATATTGGTTTGCTCTCCAGTGCGAGAGGGTAAACTAATTGATCTCCAATGCAAGAAGATAAACTAATTGTTCTCTAGTGCGATAGGGTAAACTAATTGTTTTCCAGTGCGAAAGTGTAAACTAATTGCTCTCCAGTGCGAGAGGGTAAACTAAATCCCTGACACCTATCTGGGTAAGCTCTCCAGTGCAAGAAAGCCACATAGTTCAAAAGATCGAATGCTTGAAGATTAATTAAGCAACAAATGTTGAAAAATTAAACTCAAGCAATTTCCTCATTTTCAGCCGGTAGCCCAGACGTGGCAGCCCAAACAATTGCCTATCCCATGCCACTTCCTCGCCCTATGCCGAACCAATCCTTGGCTACAATCAAGCCGAGCTGCTCAAGCAATGGCCTCTGCCACATCACCTCTTTGGCCCATGCCAAGCCGACTCTTGGCCACCCCGACGACTGCCCCGTAGCAGCACCACCTAAGAAGAAGACAAGAAGAAATTAAGTTTTTATTACATTGGTGCGGCACGGAGAAGACGAAGAAAGCTACAAAAGACGATCATTTCCACGTGCAAGATGTAGAAGATTGCTAGAGGAGAGGGAACAAATATCCTCTAAGCTCTCTCTCTCTTGTAGGGTAGAATAAATCATTCTCCAAAGTTGATTTAAGAACCCACTTAAGGTGGACTTAAATAGGCTTTGAGAGAAATTTATTTCCTTTTCCTAGAAGAGTCTAATTTCATATTAAAGAGAGAATCTACATCAAAACAGGAAGCAGTCCTAAGTTTTCTAGAGTAAGAAGATCTCTACACCTGCTGCACTTTTCTACGAGCAGTCTAGCAGGTGTGGGGGCATTTGTGGAGCCAAAAATAATCACAGGACGACACGTGGATTTTTGGGTGAAGATGACAAATTTACCTTCGAGGCATACCGGATCTCCTACACGCGAGCAGTGAAAAATCATCCATCAACCAAATCAGTAGTACCCAAAATAGGTAACAAGTTCAAATTTGTCTCATCCATCCTCATTACATAACCTCTAAAAACCTCCCAAAACATTTCTTTTATTATGATAATTAGCCAATTAATATATTTATACCTAATTAATATATTAATTGCTAATTGAATCACCAAATAACACCCCAAAACACACTTAAAGGTTGGCTACACCCCATTCCTTATACATATGACCCTATTTCTTCTAAAAAGCTAAGTTGATACTCTTACAAAACTCCCAAAAATCCTCTAAACACATTTTCTCTTTAAATTCTAACTTTGACATCGGAGGTTTTTCGGCCAAAGTCCCCCAATTCATCGTGGGTGCGTGAGGTTCTTGGGCTTGACCAAATGTGTTGATTGTTTTGTAAGTGCAATTTTGTTCAAGAAAAAAAAGGCAGAAATTTGCATCCACAAATATGAGTAAAATTTACACGAACAAATGCTTTTAATTATGCTATCTCAATTCTATCACATTGTTATAACTTTTGGTTAGGATCGAGGGCCACATAGTTATTGACATACATTTTGACACCGTCTTTGTAAGGCCTACTTCGTAACTTTTTTCAACAATTTGAACTGTCTATCTCTTAGTCTTCTTTCAAAGATCATGTTTACAAAAAATCACGCAAATTCGAAATCATACGACCATTGAATTAAAGTTACTCATTTTAGTTGTTATTTACAAAACCGCATCCGTCTATTTTCTTCACTACAAATAAATATGTTAATAGTTTTAAATTTATCAATTTTTTTTGAAATGATGATCTTTGAATAATGATTGAAATATAGACGATTTGATCACTGAAAAAGGTTTATTAAGTCCGTCCTACAAAGTAAATGTAAAAAGTATGTGTAAAGAAAATATCCCAAACGCATCGGAATAATCCAATCCTATCCGAACCACCTTCCTCCAAAGAAAACTGAAAAGGACAAACAAAACATCATCTTCTTCATCATTTACTTCCTTCCACCTGCAATTCCAAAACCATCAAACTTCTTCACTTCCGATCCGCCATGGCAACCCCATCTCCGCCTCTAACCGTTTTCACAGTCCTCAACGAATCCAAGCGCATAGTCAACGCCCACTCCCGCCACTTCTTAGCCCTCTCAGTCCTCTTCCTCCTCCCTCTCGCCTTCTCCTCCACCGTCTACCCCACCATCCAGAACCTTCTCGCCGATCGAGTCAGAGACAACCCCAAGCTATTCCTCGAAATCTCAACTTTGGACGCCCAACGGCGCCAACCCATCATCCCCGCCAAAACCCTTCTTGTCGCCCTCGCTTTCTCCCTCTTCGCCGTCGTCTTCTCTCTCTGCGCCCTGGGGTCGATCACTTACAGTGTGTTTCACGGATTCTATGGCCGGCCGGTTAAGCTCGTCTCCGCCGTCAAATCCGTCGCCTCCTCCTTCCTTCCCCTGTTGGGTACTGCTCTAATTTCCCAGATCCTCATTTTATTGGTTTTTATTCTTTTCGGGCTGTTCGTGTTCTTGGTGGTTCGCAGCGCTGAGCTTATGGGATTTGAAA